CACATCGGTGGAAGCTAACGATTTTAAATTGGCTTACTACTTGACTAGCCTATTGGTCCTAAGCAAATCGATTAACGTATCCCATTCTAGTACAAATTCTAGTACTACACTATGTTTGTTTTGATTTGCTATGAAATTTTGACAGATAAAATGAGGGGTTCGGATTTTCCTCTGTTTCGAGGGGTGCATCGATCAGCTTGGGACCGAAGAGAAATCGATGATTGATGCCGTTTTGGAATGTATTTACGAAACAGGAGCAACGTTTAGACTGCCAATATATGAAAATCCGTTTTATATTCCACCCATGTCAAATCACCTAAAACTGCATCGCGTAGTTGGTATGATATCAATCCATGACCCTATCAAATAATCGAAATGACTAGTATGCCATACTATATAAATAAATAATGGTCTGATATGAAAAAAATCACAACGGCATGGCTTCCAATAGCTCTCTCATCGTTTTTTTTTTTTTTTTTAATAACTATACAGTAATTCCATAGAGGTAGTGGCACCGGTGGTATAGTGGTAAGCATCATTGCCACTCATCCCAAAGGGCCTGGGTTCAACCCCAGTCGGCAAACAAGAACATTTATGATGCTTAAATTTGTTTCTGCTAGTTTTAATTATGATCGTGGTTTTTCAGTCTACAAAGCATATCAGTTCCGATTGAAAAAAAAAAACAGCAAGCCGTGAAAAACGCTGTTGAAATTTAATTTCTCCATATATCTCCCATCCATATATGGATGGGACAACCTTGATTTGGTAATTTTTACGATATTTTCTGAACAAAGCATGTAACTTTTAGTGCACAGTGAATAATACTGGAATTTTTAAATTGATTCTAATCGATAACTCATTTCTGACAAAAATCAACACTGTTATGCTTTTGCGGACAGTGTACACACAGAGATTATTTTACTGGGGTCAGTAATTTTTTACTGGGTTTTCAAACAGCTGAAAAAGTCAGTAAACTGAAAATAACGGTCACACGTAATGCAACGAACAATTTTAACATATTTTATTTTTATCATCAAATAAATGTAATAAGAACACAATCTGTATAAATTTCAAGAAAAAATCACTTTTATACAATTTTTTACAATTTTTTTAAGTTTACTGACTTTTTCAGCTGTTCATTAACCCAGTAAAAAATTACCGAACAGGGAGGCCGTGATTTTGTGTGTAGTAACTATATATTTTCTTGATCCGACGATCCAATATGGATGGAAACATAGGATCAAGTTGCGCATAATCGCATATCAGTCCCCATATTTGCTTGATTTCCTATATATATGGGACAATACCCAAGTAACCAAAAGTTCTGATAAAAGGCTATTTGTGGCTTAAGCAGCTTGGTTGTAGGTGGTCTATAGAATTCTAAGCAGCCTCATTTTTAAGTCGTTATAAGAACTTGAAAGTTCCGGTACCATAATTGAAGAGCATTCTAAGCAGCTTCTGGCGGAACTTGAACGGAACTTTTAGAAAATAAGTTACAAAAAGGTTTTTGTCCTCTACACCAATTTTATATTTAGTTCGCAGTTTATGAAAGTTAATTTTAAAGTCAGGTATGAACGAGTATTGATTTAATCAACATTAGTAGTAGTATTGGAGCTGTTTGAAGAATTACACCCAGTCCTTCTGCGTGATAGCCCCAGCACGAACCACTACGTCATTTTTAAAGTGAGCTGCAGCGTTGCCAGTATTCCAGATTTATCTGGATTTTCCCGATTTTTAGTAGTCTTGCCAGATACACAGACAGACAACGATGTTTCCAGATTTTTAAAATATTTTCCAGATTTTCCCAGACTTTTTAAACATGTTGCTTTAAAATATCACTGCAATTGATCTACCCTCTAATAAAAAAAAATTAAAACTTGCTGCTTTAATTATTAAAGGCCATCAACGTTGGACATTATTGGAATTTTAAGGTCATTCTGAAAATAGTTCACAGTGAAGGGTGAGGCGAATTCCTTGTGTAATCAAAGGAGAACTTCAAGCTAATTCTGAGTAGATCTTTTTGGCCTTCGTGGTCGTGCGGCGTCACCCGTCGTTCAGGCGTATTGTGTGTGCCACGAAGTAAGGGTTCGATTCCCGCTCCAGCGGGTGCAAAATTTGACAACCTGAAAATTTCCCTACTGATCTACAGGGTGTGATGTGTTGTCCGTTGTTTGGTGTTAAATACTCAGTCTGTACAACCTCTGGTTGAAGGCGGTTTCAATTGGCTTCTCAACTCTGTTGACAATTGCATGGAGATTTTGTGAATATAGGAAATACAATCCGGAAGAGAAATCATAGAAAATTCTTAAGATGAAACTTGAGGAGTAGGGTAGATCAATGATAGGTTGGTTCCGATGCGTTAGTTCATTAGCTACAACATAAACGCTGTTAGAGCGCATTGTATGAATATTTACGCTCATTGTTCTCAAAATAAAAGAAGCGCTCCTAGCTAATCCCATTTTCCTACGTTTATCCGTAGGACGAAGAAAATCTAAATGCGTTTCAATGCGTTAGGACGGAATTGAAACTCGTAGAACGAATTTAGAATCAAGAAGCAGTATTAGATTTTAAACAATATCTCAACAATTTGTGATTCTTTATCAAATCCACCGGTACGTATGGAAAAATGAATAAATTTAGAAGACATCTTTGACAGTATTCCATTTTTTGTTTAAACTCGTTCGGAAAAGAGAGATAAAGCGTGGGTTGTGCTTAGTAGGGCGGAAATTAGGTCAAAAAGCTGATACGAATCGTAGGAATAATTTCAATGAATTTTCTGTCCAATGTTTCTATGAAGATTCATTTCAATAATATTTTAAGACATTTTAACGGAATTATGCGCAATTTTTGGGAGACTTTCAAGGCCATTTTGGCAAAGTACTTGAGTACTCAGGAAATACTGAAGAGGATTTCAAAATAATTCTGACCTTACCTACAAAGCAGTTCAAAGGGAATTATCGGATAGGTCTGAGAAGAGTGTGACGGTCATTCTGAAAAGTGCATCAAATAAATTATTAAGAATATTTTAAGAATTTCATAAGGAAAACTGGACACAGGGAGTCCAGGAAATTGTGGAATTGTAGAGTAATGTATAAGATATTAAAAAAGGTAATGCTATGCATTCTGCTATGAATGTTACTGGAAAAGATTATTTTAGGGGAATCCAGAAAATTTAGGATCATTCAAATGGAACTCAAAAAAAGGGCGAAGATATCTTGTGAAGAGTTCCAAGTAAATTCAGACTAACAAAAATTTTCATGATCTGGAACCCAGGAAAAATATACATTCCGGAATTTATGATCATTTCAAGATCCTGAGACTTCAAAAATGACGCTATCAGACTTTCATTTTAGTAATATAATAAAATTATTCTTTGGCATAACATTATTCGTAATGTTTATGCACGAATGGTACAGTTACCTGTAGGTTAGGTAAACTTAAGCCAGGTGAATTTTGCTCCAAAATAAAATTGCCTATTGGGTGTTGTGTGTTGTATTGAATTAAATTGTGAATCTGATCAACCCCAGGGTAATATTAGAATTATTTAGAACTAATTAAAATCTTTATATTCTGGCACTGCATCAAATCGTAAGGACTACATCGACTTTAAAAAAATCCATCCCATCAAATTTGCTTAATTCTTTGCTTCTCATTCTTTAAAAAAAAAGTTGTATTTTAAAAAACAATTCTAAAAATATTTTCTACACTTTTTTACTATCATTTAATTCAATTTTTGAACTGCTGCGTAATTGATATTTAAACTTTTTGGCCACACTGTGTCAATACTTTTCAACTTTTGGATGATTTAGCAATGCTAACAACTTTCACTATATGTTTAGTATTACTTCTGCGTGAAGTCAACGATTTACATAGTTGAAGATGCTAATTTCAAATAACAGACGGAAGTGGTATTTTTTATACGATAGATGAGGAGATGAAAGTATAGAATTGATAGTTCCGTTTAGAGTACGGTAGTGTGAAAATTGGATACAGAGAGTAGAAAGCGAGCTAGCCAACTTTTAGGAAGGTACAAATCAGTTTTATCATCTCTCTTTACCAAACTCCCCCTTTGAAGATGGATGGTGAGGGGTGTCCCTCCCCTGTTGAGGCCATGTTTTCAGTATTGCATGAAGTTCCTAAGAAGTTCAGTTTTTGGAACTTTTTTTATAACTTCAAGTTATTAGGAGTACGCATCGGATCTATCTTTATGGAACTTGAAAGTGGGTTTTATCGATGAATGCAGAACTTTTGGTTGCTTGGGCAGAAAGTTCTGTCGGAACTTTATTTGAACTTAATGTAACTAGAAAGTTCTGTCGGAATTTTATTTGCACTTTATAGAACTTGGAAGTGAGTTTTATCGTTGAATGCGAGATTTTCAGTTACTTGGGTATTGCTTATATGAGCAGCATAGTGGCTTTGATCGAAGACATCATATCAAGAAGAATGGCAACTTTGCCAGTTTCCAAGCGACAGATACAGCAGCGCTGCACTTGGGTGAAGATGGAAGCAGCGCATGGAAATATGAGCAAATATACAAATCTTTCTTCTGAGGTTGTTATCTTTGCTATCAAATTCGTTCGAAGCATTTACCTTTGAACGGCAGATCACGCGATTGTGCCTGTTTCAGGTTGTATTAGTAAATTAATGAGTGGCCAGTCTTCTTGATATGTTGTCTTTGCTTTGATTAACAATAGACTGAAAAACCAAATAACCCAAGAGTTTGCAACATTACATTTGTTTCCAAATTCGATTGCGCTTTCCCAAGTAAAATTTGGCTTCGTAATCCAAATTCAATTGCGCTTGTCCTGGTGAAAATATTAAAAATTGATTTTATATTGGTTTGGTGCTAAGTAGTCGTCGACTACCCTCATCCACAGCAATACAACATATACTAAAACTCTGAAATGTTTTCAAATTTCATAAACGCGAAAAAAAAATCTAAATAAAGCTAGTTAACTAAAACAAACTGTGAAAAGCAAAAAGCCTACTATGTAACTTACTGATAGTATACAAAGACTCCAGTTCCGGATCACGATTTTTGAAGATCTTATTGTTCTGCAAGGTGCTCGAATTAAGCCCTCCGGGAGTACCGTTCATGCGGAACCCGTTGCTACCGTACAGCCCATCCAGATTATTATTATGATTTCCTATCACAGGCGACGAGCTCATCGGTTTCAACGAGTGACTCGTAGGAGACGTTAGCAAGTTGTACGAATTGGTGGCCTGTTGCAGTTTATGGCTGCTGTTGATCAAATCCGGTGTTGGTAAAATGCCGGGATTATTATTTTCCGTATCAGAAACGTGGCCACTCGAAAGCCCATCCTCGAGAACCGGCATGCTAGTGTAATAGCGTGCATAGTTACTGGCGTTGCCAACCGCTGCCGTATTTACTCCATTATCAATCATCGTGGAAGAGTTGATCCCAGTGGATGCACTTATGACACCATTATTCAGATCGTCACACATCATATCACTACCACCGTTAGCCATCATACCATACTCGCTGCCGTACTTGAGAGAGATCTCGCTATCGTAATCGCCGCAGTTGCTCTCGTAATCGGTAGTATCCGGGGAATAGTTGAAGTTTTTACTATGACGACGAGTCAACGGCTTTTTGCCGTTTCCAGAACCCCCACCACCGCCGCCGTTGCTCTTCATTTTCATCCCGTTTCCGTTCGCAATGAACTGCGTCGAGTCGAGATTACTTTCATTAATCACATCACAACTGCTGGCACGGCTTCCGGGATCCAAGTACAGGCTAAAATGTCTTTCGTGTTCCTGATACTGCTGCGGTTGCTGTTGATGCTGTAGCATCACGTGCTGCCGCACATTGCTCAGATGTTGTTGCTGCTGCTGCTGTTCCTGAGATTGTTGCTGTAGTCGTTGTTGCTGCTGTTGGTGGTGGAGGAAACTATGATGATGATGATTCGCACTATAAATATCTATTTCTTCTTCATCCTCTCCATCGTTATCGTCATCATTTTCGCCACTAACGGTAACTATTCCGGCTAGAACGTTCGAACCAACGCCCGCGAGTTTCTTTTCCTGTTTCTTCTTCCGGAAGCTGGTGTAACCGTTTTTGATTCTTGGTTTGCTCTTGACGTTGATCATGTACTTCAGATTACTACCAATCCCACCTTCGGCGTCATCGTCGTCGTCGTCTTCGTCATCCTCCTCACCTTCTTCTTCGCCTTCTTCCAATTCCTCACAAACATCGTCATCATCGCCATCCCCATCGGCGTCGCTATTATTGTTATTGGTTGGTGATTTGCGAGATGCAATTGCCGCACTGATGTCCTGCTGCTGTCTGATACTGCCGCCGGTACCGGTCAGTGTCGTCATTGGTTTCTGCTGCTCCGTGACGGTAGCCGCACCGATGTAGGTCGTCTCCAGTGCTTTTCCATCCAGCTCAACCGGATACTCATAATGGATGTCCTGTGTGTGCGGTAGAAATGAGAAGAGAAAACCAGAAAATGGGTTAACATTTTTGGGACATGGACATGGCTCATTTTGTTTGATTGAAATATATGCCTCAGTCGGTATGACCGTCTGATGAAATTGGGATAGAATGAATTGCCCTGGCGGAATAACGTACACCGCACACCGTAAGTGTTGTTACGTGTTTTCGCTGTCATCGCGTCATGTCGCAGGCTTGCGGTCAGAATTGATGGAAAGCTTTTTCCATTTTATCTTACAAGTAGTGCAAGCAGCTCTGGGATCAGCAAGTTCCAGACATGGTTTCGGCATTAAAACGCAGTGTACATGATTTTTGCCGGTTTATGTTTGAATCAAGGGATCAATTGATTAATTGCTCTATCACGTATCAAAAAGCAAACATGGTCAAACTTTCAAGCATTAAATGAAAATGATTTATTATCTATAGTCGTAGAACAGAAGGGGAATTGCTAACAAATCGGTGAATCAAAAAGTGGTTCGTTTTTCTGCTCAACAAGCGATGCGTTGTGGTAGCATTCCACACGGGCTTCTATATGCACTAACACCATCATAGCATGCTGCCTATCTTAACTGTAGGCAGTAGGCATCTACTGCGCTAGGTGCGCTAGTGGAGCTACTGTCTGATACGAAGTTCCACTTCTGTTCTGTGTTATAGCTCTACTGCGTTGTTAACCCATTAACGTCAAAGGTGTTCTACAATTGAGAAATAGCCACGAAGTTGGAGACGGAGTCGGACGCATTTTTGAGCAGCTCGAAGAAAAAGTACCGACTCCGACTGTTATGAAAAAATAATGTGAAACTACATCCTAATTTGGTTCACGTGCAAATGTTTTGGATCATGAACGATTCGATTGAATTTGAATGCCCAACATGAACCGTCTAAGGCCAGCTGTCTAAGCTGATTTTGATATAATGAACCTCCTCATACCACAGTTATAAACGTAATGCTTTCAATGTTCGTATTTGCTATTAAATTTCAAGTTTCACGAGAGCATGATGTAAAAGTATTATTATTTTCCAAATGAACACGGTTTATAAAGCTATTTTTGGTGAAACATGCAAGTGAGACAAAAATATAAAATCTCAATGAATGGAAATATAAATATTCAAATTATTTAAATAATTTGCATTATTTAAAGCGGACAACGTCAAGGGATGGTTAACTCTGCTACCAAACTCAATATTTAAGGGACCATCGAGTTAAGGCCCAAACGCAATGTGGGCGGAAGCGGAACGGAAACGGAAAGTTTGACAGTTGTCATAAATTACATCAAGGACAGGACCCGCCAGCTGCTAGTGAAAAAATAAGATCATTTGCCTGCCAGAAAAGGCCACTTTAGATTGGTCGAATTGGCCTAAGAGGAAGAGGAGACAAGTGGCTTCTTATTATTTTATCTCTATCTGTATCTATATCTATCTCTATCTTACGCACTTCAAATCGGCCAATCACGAGCTGGTTCACGTTTGACAAAAAAGTTGTTCGTTTTCGCCCCCGTATTGTCTTCTCTTCCTCTTAGGAATTGACAAACGCCTGCTATCACCAGCGCTGCCGGATTGTTTTCAAGATTATCGGTATCAAAGGTTTAAAAAAATCGATATTTATCGGTATTTTATTTTTTTAATTAATTTTATATTTTTGCCGTTATTGAAGGCGAAAATTCAAACTTTTGGACCAAGAACGAACATTTTGCTTGGAAGTCGGCAGAAATTTGCGGAGAGTGTTTAAATTAGTTTCAGAAGGAAGCCGAACAAAATTCCAGAGAAAGAATAAAGAAGCTCTTCTGGAGGAAGTTTGAAGAAGTTCTACGAAAGGTCGGAAAAAACCTCCGGGGAACTTCCGAGACAAATATTGGGAAACTTTTGACGAACATTTAAACAAGCTATCGGAAAAAATATTGGATGACACATCCATAGGATGCCAGAAAATATTTGGAATTCGGAAACAAATTCCAGAAGTAGAAGCTCAGAAGAAGCCCAGAAAAACTTTCTATTAGAAGTAAAAAAAAACTCATGGAACTCTTATCGCTTATGGAGAAACTCCCAGAAGAAGGCAAAAGAAATGTCTACAGATACATTCGGTAGAAGTTTGATTGAACCTTCTTGAGTAGACGAATGAAGCTTCCTAGAAACGCTGGAAGAAACGTCGTATGGAAGATTGGAATAAACTTTTGGAGAAAGTCGGAAGTCAGAGGGACAGTCGAAAGAAAATTCAAGGAGAAGTCAAGTTGAGAATAAATGCCGGAAGAAAGAGATTTCTTGGGGGAGTTCGAACAACATTCCCTGGAGTTCCTTACATGTTCTAATGATTCATAAAATTACCTGATATTTATAAAACATACCTGACGATCCCGCAATGTACCTTAAGTTTTCGGAATATTCCTGAAATACACTTCGGAATATCCCGAAAGTTCTTACAATTTTCCTGAAGTTATTTGTGCTGTTTTGTAGTTCTCTTCTGATCATCCTAGAAGTATTTGGAACTTCCCTGATTATACAGAAACTACCAAAAAATTTCTAATCTTCTAAGCCTTCAATTCTGGAAGTTCTGGAATAATTCGAAACTTCTTAAGTACTCTCACAATTAATTGAAATTAATTTAACATCAGCATTGAAGTTCTCTGATCTACCGGATTTAATTTCCATTTTTAAAAGTTCTCGAAACTGCCATTAAAATGCACGAACCTCCCTTAAAATATTCGCACATTTTCCTAATGTTCATGTTACTTCCTTTACGTTTCCAAAATGTTCGTGAACCTCTTGGAATTTAACTGAAGTTTTTGGACATCCCTTAAGTTTCTCGGAGCTCCATTCAGGGTTCAGTACTTTAATAGAAATTAATTGATCTGTTCAATTAACATGAAACAAATTAAACTGTCCTGAATACCATAAAATTTCCCTGAAGTACTTTGGAAATCCAAAATATGTCTGATGTTTTCTTAAGTTCATTGGAGTTTTCTATACTTTTCTGAACTTTGCAGGTTTTCGAATTTTAACAAAAGTAAATGAACCCGTCTTTAATTTATCGGAACCTACCCTAACTTACCCAAAACTCTGAAGTTTTCTGAAGATGCAGAACTGAAGCTAATACTTAGAAAAGCAATAAAACTCTGGAAGCATCCCTGAAGTTTCGGGGAAGCTGAAAACAAAACTGGCAGTAGAAAACGGGAGAACCTTTCTAGAGAAGCCAGAAGAAGCTTCCAAGGGAAGTCGAAACAACTTCCCGGTAGGACTCGGGAAATAACCTACGGGGTAAGGGGAAGAAAATTCCAGGGGAAATATGGAACAAACTTCCAAGGGAAAAATAAATAAACTTCAGGAAGTTATAAAATTAACATGGATTTCACTGAATAAAAGTATTTCCTGATTTCCAGAAATTACTGGGATGAGCCATCAGCTATTTCTCGATTGATGAATAATTTTTTGAGCAGACTAAAAAGTTTTTAGATATTCAAAAAGATAACAATCTTTCACAATAGTTTCGTCTGACAGTTCAGCGGGCAGACAATAATCATTTTGAAAATCTCAAAAATCGGTATTCTGAAAAAGCTTATCGGCAACACAGGCTATCACACTGTTTATGAGGGGTACTTGTTGTTGGCATGGCCGTGCTGCTAGCAATCGGTAATTTTTCTATTTTTCATTTTGTTGACCGCAAACAATCTTTTGCTTTGTTTTTTTTTTACTGGGAAAACGAAGTACAGTGCATAGTTATTAAATGTGGTCACAGTGACGTATCAAACCCAGGGCATCACGTTTATCAGTTCTCGAAGGATCCAATTGTTCGCCAGGAGTGGATTAAAGTCTGCTTGAGAAACGAAAACAAGGAAGACATTATTTTTTTAAGATTTCTCCCCACGGCAGAATGTGCTGCGTAAGAGCAAATCGTAAATTTAACTAACTGAGTTTCCAGTTATCAACTTTTATGATTGATAATAGTAGGTTCATTTCCTGAATGGCAAGACGAATCCAATTGGAACCTGTATCATTCAAATTGACGTCGCTTCGTTGGACGATGAGTGACAAGAAATGAATGTGATCTCAAACAAAAATTACATCAGGAAATCTATCTCTGAGCTGACACGTCCTGTCCTAGGTTCTAACTAGTTTTCAATCCAACAAGTCGGCTTACTCAGATCGATTTTTTTCGCTTTCGCTGTCATTGCGCTTGGCAAAAGGGAGGATGTTGAGTTAGGGTGGTAAATTCAGGAAATTTGTATGGACAAAGAGGTCGCAGTAGCCTGGATTTCAATAGAGTTAGGGAGAGATCGAGTAAGAAAAAGTTGTCTAAAAATCTTACAAAATTATTCAAAAGCACCTTTGTTAATCCGTACAATATACAAATATTGCGAAAATTTGGTTGTTTTTAGCAAATTTTAGAAAAAGATTGGTTCGGTTTTGAAAAAAATCAAAATGCTTTAAGTCTGTTCCAGCTAAAATTGTTTGTTGGGAACATCTCTGATCACGCCTTCCTTCGGATGGGAAGTAAAGCCGTTGGTCCCCGGTTCATGAGTTGATGGGTCGATAGGTAGGGTCCAGGTGTGGGAGCTGCCTTCCTGGCACGTCGGTAGCATTGGTGCTCAGCACGGAAAACAAGATCGACGGAAAAAACAAACCAAAGGAAAAAAAAAAAACGTAAGGGGGATGCTCCGGATAAATTCAAATTTGTCTTTGCAGATAAATTCGCTCGCAAGTTGATGATTTGGCGAGGCATCTGCAGTTGCGGAAAGAAAACAAAGGTTTTCATCACTGGAGTGACTATGTGTGGTTCCTGCTTGCTTACCGGTTCGCCTTATCCTTCAATAGCGGCGTTGAGCGAGGCAGCCAAACCAACATCGAGCAGTAGAGGTGACTTCCGACGAACAAGGGGAAGTAGGCATGCATAGTCCACATTCAATCGTGGTAGCAGAACTTAAACGCCATCGAATTTCTTCACCGAACGGCCACTCTTAAAAATGCGAAGCAAAGGGCACTTATAAAAAAACTCTACACTTTATTACACGCAACAACGACATTTAATTCTACGGACACTACATGGGTTTATTCTTAACTTAAATGAACTTAAACTAAACACATTAAAAATTGGTTTCCGACGTGCGGGTCGAGCACCCGTTCTTCACCGTGACCTAGGCGATACTGATCCGACCTACATCCAGGCAGTTCATCCGAAGGCCTTCAACAGCCGACAATCCTGCGATGTTTTCCTCTCCCGTGCGAGAATATCCCACGATCAGCTTTCCTTCTTATCACGCCACAACGGTTGATAAGAGCGATCGTGATATCGTACCTAATGTCTTCTCTTTCGTTCCAGTCCTTGTTTCGGTGATGGTGTGATGATCATGAGTGGATGAGAGCGAGAGTGGTCCAGCTCAGGGTTGACGCTTCGGGGGGCCGTACTCTTCAACATCCTCACCCACCCAGAAAGTTCTGAAATTTCTGCAAATAAAAAGAAAAAAACCTCTTCGCGGGATAGGGATAGGAAGGATGTTTATTTGTTCCGGATTGTTGACTCCGGATTGTTGACTCCGGATCATCGTTGTCGTCCTGGATCGGTAGAAGACAAATTTTCTCCACCGGACGAATTAGTAGTCCTGTAGCGGTTTTCAAGGTGACCACTCTTACGATTCCGTCTTCACCGGGGTGTACCTTGACTATCCGCCCCATCTTCCAGTGCATAGGAGGTTGATTCTCATCCCTAATGATGACTAGCGTTCCGACATCGATGGGAACAGCTGGTTTCCATCGTTTTGTTCGTCCTTGAAGCTGGCACAAGTACTCTCTTCGCCAGCGCTTCCAGAAGTCTTGCAGCCTTCGCTGGGTCAGCTGCCATTGATTGAGTCGATTGAGAGGTACGTCCGTAAAGTCTGGCTCGGGAAACGCTTGCAGTGATTCTCCAACCAGAAAGTGAGCAGGCGTTAATGGCTGTAGATCATTCGGGTCATCTGACATGGGAGTGAGAGGGCGAGAGTTGAGGCATGCTTCAACTTGAGTGAGCAGTGTACTCATATCTTCCGGGGATACTGGTGCTTCTCCTACGACTTTCAGTAAATGGGTTTTAGCCGACCGAACTGCAGCCTCCCATAGGCCACCGAAGTGTGGCGCGCTCGGAGGGTTGAAGTGCCACTGTATTCCTTCCTTGGCTAATTCCCTGGTGACAACTTCACGGTGTTCATTGTTCTTGAGCAACTTGAGGAAGTCCTGCAACTTATTCCGTGCACCGACAAAGTTGGTGCCATTGTCGGAGAAAATATCGGTACACCGCCCTCGCCTGGCGATAAACCGTCTCAGAGCCTGAAGAAATCTGTCGGTTGACAAATCCGAGACAAATTCCATGTGCACAGCCTTGGTACACATACAAATGAAAATCGCTACATAGGCTTTGACTGCCGGACGCCTTGGAGCGAGCCTTACATAGATTGGACCAAAGTAGTCCACACCCGTCCGTGAAAAGGGTCGAGATACCGTGACTCGTGACGATGGTAGATCCCCCATCTGTTGTTGGACTGACGATGGTTTCGAGCGGAAGCACGTCTGACATCTGTGGATTATGTTCCTCACCACACTCCTTCCTCCTAATGGCCAGAAGCGAAGTCTTACAACACTCAACAGCAGTTGTGGTCCAGCGTGTAGCAGTCGCTCGTGGTAGTGTCGTAGCAGCATGTGAGTGAATAGATGCCGTGCTGGCAGTACAACCGGATGCTTGGTTTCTTCCGTTTCCATGGAATGCTTCAAACGGCCGCCAAGCCGAATTAGTTGATTCGTCGATATGAATGGACTGAACCACCGCAACGCCGATCCTCTCGCAACTGCCTCCCCTTTGGACAACGCCTTCCATTCTGTCTCGAAAACTTCCTTCTGTACCAAGCGGACCAGGGTGTTTTCCGCCTCCTTCAGCTCTGCCGACGACAGGTACGCTGGGTAATTCCTCTCCATTCGCGGTGTTCGTAGAAGCTTCATATAACGCAGCCAATATGCTGTACAACGAGCAAGATCTGTGTAGGACGAGAACTTGCTGAAGTACGTTTGGTTGAATTCGGCGAATACAGAAGCTGGTGCAGCAACTACAGTCCGCCTTTTTTCTTCATCTCTTTCTCCAGTTGGTGAATTATGTGGCAGGCTTGGCCATTGACCTTCTTCTTCCTCTAGCCAGCTCGGTCCTTGCCACCAGAACGAATTGTTCACGATATCTTCCGGTGAAATCCCTCTGGAGATAAGATCTGCGGGATTTTGAATTCCTGGAACGTGTCGCCATTGAGATTCCTGGGTAATGGACTGTATTTTTGAAACTCTGTTTGCAACGAAGGTGGTCCAGGTCATTGGAGGAGCTTCTATCCAACGCAGAACGCAGGTGGAATCTGTCCAGAAAAACGACTTTCCCTTGAACCGAATCGATTGTGCAACCTTTTCAAAGAGCTCTGACGCAAGGAGCGCCCCGCACAATTCCAGTCGGGGAATTGTTTGACATTTCAACGGCGCTACCCTTGATTTGGAGGTAAGAAGACGAATTTTCACTTCTCCGTTGACATTCTGGCTCCTCATGTACAGACATGCTCCATACGCCTTCTCCGAGGCATCCGAGAAACAGTGGATCTCCGTCGAGACAGCATTCGAAGTGATGACACAACGGTCAATGCGTATTTCATTAAACAGTGGTAGCTGTTCGTGGAATTTTCTCCAGGGCTCACCCACCGTCGATGGTAGCGACTGGTCCCAATCAAGCCCTTGACCTTGTCCGTCACGTAATGCCCATAACTGTTGCATAAATATCTTGGCCGATGTTATGGCAGCTCCCAACAGCCCCAGAGGGTCAAACAGTGTGGCAATTACTGACAGCACGTATCGTTTAGTGAGTGGTGTATCAGGGTTCAGACTAGGAACTGAAAACTGGTACTTGAGAGTATCGGAGACTGGCATCCAAGTTAGCCCCAGTGTTTTGATTGAGGGATCTGGATCCAAAACAATCCCTTCTGACGACCGAATCGCCAGGTCTTCCTCCGGAATGCCTTCCAGCACCGCTGGGCAATTCGAAGCCCATTTCCGCAGCTTGAATCCACCACTTGACATCATTGTGTTTAGCTGTACCCGCAATGTGGTTGCTGTTTCTTCGTCGTCCGCCCCTGTAATGACATCGTCCATGTAGGTGTCATCGAGAACCGCTCTCGCTGCGAGTGGATATTGTGCCTCTTCATCCAAGGCTAGCTGTTTGAGCGTTCTTGTCGCCAGGAAAGGTGCCGATTTAGTACCATATGTCACGGTGTTGAGCTCGTACAGATGAACACATTCCGCAGGTGAAAAGCGCCACAGAATGCACTGCAATGCACGTTCCAGTAGGTGAACAAGAATTTGTCGGAACATTTTCTCAACGTCCGACACAAGCATGATTTGTTTTGTCCGACTGCGGAGTGTAATGGATCGAAGGTCCTCCTGAATGACTGCCCCTGTCATTAGCACGTCGTTGAGTGATACTCCGTTGGATGTCTTGCACGACGCGTCGAAAACCACCCTCACCTTGGTGGTGGTACTTGCCTCCTTGATGACTGGATGGTGTGGGAGGAAGCACCGTTTATCCAACTCCGTATCCGTTTCAACCACCTCACGCATGTGACCGAGCTTGATGTAGTCCTCCATAAACGCATTGTATTGTTCCCGAAGCGATGAATCCTTAGCCAGTCTGCGTTCCGTTCCTTGGAGACGCCGGTATGCGATGTCCCTTGACTCGCCCAACCGTGAGACGGCGTCTTCATTCATCGGTAGTGAGACGGTGTACCGACCGTCCGAACCTCGTTGTACTGTGCTGACAAAGATGTCTTCACACCGTGTTTCCTCCGGCGAGTGAGCCTTGCCTGACTCAACCTCCTCACAGGACCAGAAACGAGAGATCAATGCATCCAACTCATCCAGCGTCGATACATTGCATGTGATTTGGAGAGAGCGAGATGGAACAGAGACACCACCGCTTACTATCCATCCAAATACGGACTCATGGAGAGCTGGATTACCTTCTCCCAGGGACATTCTTCGACCAGTTTCGAAGAAATCGAAAAAGTGTTCGATACCGAGAACGAGATCCACTGCGTTCGGTTCGAAAAATGCGGGATCAGCCAGTTTAATTCCGCTTGGAAGCGACCATCCATTCGTATCCACTCTGATTGTTGGCAGGTTCACCGTCACCTTCGGGAGAACCAGAAAGTCTAGTTCACGTGAGAACTGAGACACTCGTGAGCGCACCAATGCGTGTACCCTTTGTTTGACCTTGATGGTCGCTTGTCCGATCCCGAGCACCGATATATCCACTCGGTCGCGAGTTACCTTCATCAGCTGACTCAATCGCTCAGTGATAAAATTGCTCTCCGACCCTGAGTCCAGAAGAGCGCGAGCGTGATGGCGACAGCCATTGTCATCCTCAATTATAACGGCAGCCGTTGCCAACAGTACCTGTGATGCATGCTGGTGGACCGTACCAGACACCAATGCATTCGTAGCTGTCATGCTAGCTACTTGGCTGGAACGAGATTTCGATGGATCTTCAGGAGGAAAAGGTTTGTTGCATCCAGCAGCAGCCGATACCCGTTTATCACCATCTCCTTTTGGGTTGAAACACACCAGTGAGTGGTGGCGACCCTTACAGTGCCGACAAGAATATTTGGATTGGCATTCCCTAGCCAAGTGTCCGGCCTTGAAACAATTCCGGCAGAGCGAGTGTGTCTTCAGAAGAGCATCTCTGTCTGAAACCTCCAGCCGTTGGAAAGCGTTGCACTGATAAATCGGATGATTTGTTGAGCAGACCACGCAGCGTCCCCCAGACGTTTGGGTTGAACCATAGCTGGCCTTCACCGATGATGATTTCTGCTTCTGTTGTGATTGTGTCTGCTGAACACCCCTAGTGTCAACAGACCTCGATGGTAGACAGTCCAATACCTGGATTCTACGATGCAGAAATTCAGTCAGATCCGCTAGCAAATCTTGCTCCTTCGTTGCAGATAGCTCCTCCCACCCCCTTCGTGTAACAGGGTCCAGTCGAGCAGTGAGGATATTCAGCAGCAGAAGATCCTTATAATCGGCTGGCTGGATAATCTGATCGAGAGTCTGCACTATCCTCTCAAAGCCTTCCACAAGAGTGTGCAGTTCAGTTCCAGATTCCTTGGAGAGCGTAGGCAGCTTAAACAACGACTGTACCTGCCGCTTTTTCAAGTGCTTGCTGTTATTGTACCGGCGCAATAATGATTCCCAGGCCACCTGGTAGTTGGCCTTCGTGATCGGTAGAGAATCGATCAGGTTCCTTGGTTCCCCTTGCAGACACCCTTTAAGGTAGTGGAACTTTTCCACATCTGGTAGATCCACCTTCCAATGGATGAGTGACGTGTATAAATCACGGAAGCTAAGCCATTCATCGATGTCACCGTTGAAAGTTTGCAGTTTGATCTGTGGAAGACGAACGTGATCAACGGATCCGTGCACCGAAGCATCACTTGTTCGCATGGACTGTTCCAATGCCTGTGCTCCCTGGAAATCCTTGGCTTTGTCCATTAAAAACGACTTCGCTTCATAGTAGCGATCGCTGAACTCCGTACGCTCCTTCTCTAGCGTGGCACTTTCCGGTTTGTAGTCATCGTGGGCGAAGATTTCCACTAAGACCTCACTGTAACTTTCCCAAAGTTGATCCAACTTACCCAGGCGTACCTCAACCTCAGTAGCGGTGTTGGTTTCTCTAAACGCTTGCACAAACCGCAAAATATCGTTGAAGGACAGGTTGATTTCCTTCAAACGAGCCGTCAATGCCCTCATCGACGGTGGCTTCTTGGTAGCGGTAGGTAGCATGGTAATATGTCACGATAATCGGGAACCAAAGAGAGAAGCGTTGTGTAGTATGCTGCGAGTTGACCTAGCTTCGCTAGGCATATACTGCATTAATTTACCCGAGAAAACGAATAGTGGTGCTCCAGTTCAATCGAGTAAAGATGATCAACCCAAACAAGTCGTATGACGTCACACAATTCACCGAAATGCAGCAATAACTCAGGTGGCGAAGCGGAGATGCAAGCGAGGAGAGAGAATATGGTGTAGTAACCGAATAAGTCGGCTTCGGCCGGGCATATACTGAGGCAACTTACTCGTATAACCAACAGCAGTACAATCCCGGTTAAGTCCGAATATCCAAAACCAGAACGTAAATGATTCGCAAATAGATCGTTCAACGATCTTTCAGGGCTCAGCAAGTGGATGGAAAAGCGAAGAGGATAGGTTCCATTCAAAATTGTGTATTTATCTATTTCTAGCTTCGGCAGTACACTAAAAAAGTTCACTCACCCGAGAAAACTAAAGATGATACCGCCTCTTCGTTCCAAAATGCCGACGCAGTTGAGTTGCTATGCGAGTCCTATCGTGATGGCTTGATGAATGGATGCAACCCCACTGATACCACAGTGGCTACTGGTGAAACTTGCCGTTCCAGGTAATCGGTAGACGAAAAACCAGTACTTCGTAGGCTCCGATGTGTGGTTGGGAGGACGGCTTCCCTTGCCGTCGGTTGATGATCGCAGGTCCAGAAAACACGTCGAAAAATTGCGTTAGTATGTTGTAGGGTCCGATTCGACTGGACATATACTGCACTATCTTAGCTTACCTGAGCAAGAAGGCGTTGCGCCAGTCCAGCGATCCAAAAAACGATTTCCAATTCCGGGTATTCGTCAGCACAGACCGTCCGTGCTTTGACTATCATGCAGTGGCCTATCAATTTCGTTGCATGCAAAACTCGTTTCCAGTAATTCAATTCCAAATGGCTGTCCCAAGCCAAATCGAGCCTAAGAAACCGCGATGGCGCTCCAGTCCATGCGACGCTAAATCCCAAGCGATCAGGCTTTGTGCAAAGTGCGATGGCTCCCATGCAATTGTTGCAGAGTGCGGTGACCTCTGATGGTGTAGTGTGTGGTGATGCAATGGCGTTCGAAAGCGATGGCCGAAACCAGCGTCGACCCAGTGCCGACGGAGTATTCCAGAGCACGCAGATGGTCCACCATCCGGCTCGAAGGACCAAAATGTGTGGTTCCTGCTTGCTTACCGGTTCGCCTTATCCTTCAATAGCGGCGTTGAGCGAGGCAGCCAAACCAACATCGAGCAGTAGAGGTGACTTCCGACGAACAAGGGGAAGTAGGCATGCATAGTCCACATTCAATCGTGGTAGCAGAACTTAAACGCCATCGAATTTCTTCACCGAACGGCCACTCTTAAAAATGCGAAGCAAAGGGCACTTATAAAAAAACTCTACACTTTATTACACGCAACAACGACATTTAATTCTACGGACACTACATGGGTTTATTCTTAACTTAAATGAACTTAAACTAAACACATTAAAAATTGGTTTCCGACGTGCGGGTCGAGCACCCGTTCTTCACCGTGACCTAGGCGATACTGATCCGACCTACATCCAGGCAGTTCATCCGAAGGCCTTCAACAGCCGACAATCCTGCGATGTTTTCCTCTCCCGTGCGAGAATATCCCACGATCAGCTTTCCTTCTTATCACGCCACAACGGTTGATAAGAGCGATCGTGATATCGTACCTAATGTCTTCTCTTTCGTTCCAGTCCTTGTTTCGGTGATGGTGTGATGATCATGAGTGGATGAGAGCGAGAGTGGTCCAGCTCAGGGTTGACGCTTCGGGGGGCCGTACTCTTCAACAGACTATGAATGGACAACTGTACAAGGAGAAGTGTCTCTAGAACATAATTTTGCCGTTCATTCAATCACACGAAGGTCCCGTAAAGTTCAGGCCTGACTTAACCAGTTGCCATTACAGCCGCGATGTCATAGAATGGTATAATCAGAATAATGTCGAATTTATTGAGAAAAGTATCAATCCACCAAATTGTCCGGATTTTCGTCCCATTGAAAAATTTTGGGCAATTATCAAGCGCAAATTGGAGAAATGTGACAAAACGATCAAAACACCATCTGATTTGGAGAAGTGGTGGAAAAGAATGGTAGATGAGGTTGACAGTACTAATGTGCAAGACATGATGAGAGGTATTCCGCGAAAAGCTCGTAAATTGATCCGAAAAACTGACGAATAATATTTGTTGTATGTTTCCCTTAAAGCTAAATGAAAATCCTACAAAATGATACCCTTAGCGTTTTTGTACTTTATTTCGCTTTGAAGAAATGACCTATTTTGTACGGCCAAATTCTTAATGGAACAGACTTTAGTTGAGATCAATTATGTTTACACTGTTTTTATTTGAAATTTAAAAACATCCCTATTAAAAATAACCATGAGAAAGAGCTTAACCAACCGGTAGAAACTAACGATTTAAAATTGGCTCACTACTTGACTAGTCTATTGGTCCCAAGTAAATCGATTAACGTATCCCATTCTAGTCGAAATTCTAGTACTACTCTATGTTTGTTTTGATTCGCTATGAAAGTTTGACAGATAAAATGAGGGGTTCGTGGATTTTTCAATGTTTCGAGGGGTGCATCGGTTAGCTTGGAACCGAAGATAGTACTATAGCTGAGGCAAAAAGTTGAGCACGTTTCTTCGGGACCTGCTGGTCTTAGAGTTACCTCTATGACTTAACCACGTATTCGGGGTATCATCCAAACCATTTGAATGATAGTTCTAGCGTCCAGGCTACCGTTCGTTTATGGTATTTGTTAGTTAAGGATAGCATATGCTTTTAATTCCAGCTAAAAATGACCAAAACTTGTGAAAATTTCCTTCAAACTTGCAGAATTATGTTGGAAGTTGTGATAAATTTTGAAGAAAGCTGTGGATTTCGTTAAACAACGTGATCAATTTCATTCAAAATTGCGACCAATTTCTTTTGCAATTGTGACCATTTTTTGCAAAGTTCGGCATTCCATTGCAAACCGTCTGCAAATTGTAAATTGTTGTATCAATCTGATTAACAGTTATGGCCAATTTCTCGGTAAAAGACATGATCAATTTATTTGAAAATTATGATTGGTGCTCACTAAAGCTGTGTCCATTTTGCTAAAACTGGTGAAAAACTGTGATCAATTTCGTTAAAAAATTGTTAAATATTTCTTGTCAATTTCTTATAAAATTTATTATCATTTTTATTGCAAGAACTTTGTTAAAACGTTTTACCATTTGATTGGAAAATATGACTTGAAAATTGTGACCAATTTCGTTATAAGTGGAGACCAATTCCAAAACCAATTTAATCAAATTTGAATGAAATTTCTCCTCGCTCGCTAACAACCCCATTTTCATTACTTCATTATGATGGCTACCAAGCCTTTGGGATTTTCCTTATTAGAGAGTTGAATAGATTTTTCTCCTTTAGTTTACTTAAATCTTTGGTTTTTATTAGTTAGGTAGGTCCCGTTTCAACACATTGTAGTTTAATTTTTATACCTGTGATATTGACTTTTATACCTAGGGGATGAGTACTTAAGTGGGATAGATTTTGATAAGTTCTTTAGTGGGAATGACACTGATGAAGACTGCACATTGTAGTCGAAATACGTATCTGTCATGTTTACCAAAATTATTTAAGTGGAATTTAATGGAAGATAACCCTTTTTTTGCTGTTTTATTTAAGCATTCCGCTAACAACCCAATTTCATTACTTCATAGAAAAATGTGTTTACTCAGCTATAAAAACCTTATCAGATTGAAGCTGTAGGTCTAAGGAATCCTTTGAAAACATTCCACAAAGTGTTTTGTGAGAATTTTGATATGCGTGGGCGAGCTTTGGCTTTCTAGAAATCATCGATATAAGCCATTGATTACAAAAGCTGTTACGCCCTAATTCCAGCTATATCTAAAATTGGAGTCGAAGAGTCAGATTCGGAGTCCGTTAACTTCAAATCGGAGAAGCCGGAGTCCATCGATTTTCAACCGACTCCACAGCCCGCTAACAGCAATGAATTTGGTATGGTCTAGAGTTATTAAAGTTAAGTTGTTTTAGCAGTAATGCCATGTCATTTTACAATATTGCAATACCTTTTGCCGCATGACTACGTCTTTAATTTCTATACTGCACTGAGGCAAATAGACCTAAGAATTTCATAAGGCTCGACTTATGAACAACATATGTGAATTTCATAAGCGTGACTTATGAATAATTCTCGGGTAACATGAGGTAGCTCTTAAGTGGACCCTACACGATTGCTTTTATTGACAATAATCGTATTGTCAATACATTCTATATTGACGTCAATACATCGAGATTGACAATATTTCTGAATTCACATCATCAATATTATTGTCAATATATTACACGCGTCAATATATTGATGCGTGTGGGGTTTGCTTTATACGCCTTTAACCATTTCATTTTCCCAAGCGTTGAAAGACGAGTGCTCAACATACGGCCCCCCTAACCTCAACGTCCATTTTCCGGTTTCAGTCTGCTCCGATTTATTATTTTGTTGTCAACATTATTTTTCATAAGGCAAATCAATGAAATGCACACTCATTTCTTATGGCTAAGATTCAAAAGTGTTTCTTATGGAATTCTTACGTTCTTTTGCCTGCGTGTGGGCGTCAAAATTCCAAGGGGTATTCAACTCTGCACACCTTAACCTGTGCCAAGAGTTTTGGAAGTGCCGAAAGCTTTGCCAAGCGTTGTATCGATCATTCCGAAGTAGGCCGAATTGTATCAATCAAAGTGTCAATATCACATGAGGCTGGCAACCCTGAAGTCAGACTTTTGTGATTGTGTTTACATTTTCAATTTATCTAATGCATTACCATGGTTCATGGCAAATATTAGGCTTCATTCTCATTAGAATGAGAGTGGATTAGGCAGTGGAAGAGAAAGCAATACAACCTATACTACCCGTCCACAAGAAACAGACGATAGACGAAATTTTCACCAGCAGCCAGTAAAATGCTCCCTGACAAAATCAAACCCAGAGCTCGAAAGGACGAAAGTTCACTTCCATCCTAGAAACAACATCCTCGAAACAGTTCTGATCGACTCAGAACTACGCATCCTCGAAAACATTTTGATGTCTCCTACCATCACCTAGTTACACACGTTCAAGCCTACACGGGAAAAAATCCGATCTCCGAAATGAGAAAAATGACTCATGATTTCATGAACACAGCGTATTTTCATGTTATGAAAATACACCATGAATAATATTCATGATATCATGAGCAACTTTTGCGTAACGCAGCAAATATTCCCAAAATCATGAATCATCCGAGTTGAAATCATGAGCTAAATTCATGGGTTTAATTTTAACCAAAAAAATGCAAAAAGAATAAAATAAAGCATCAGACTGGATTCGAACCAAGAACCTTGAGATCACTAAACCGATACTTTCACCACTAGACTATCAGTACTTGTATAAGTTGTAAGACAAAAGGCGTATAACAGATACCTATGTAGTGCGGTTTATGAAGACGGTTTGCCAAGTACGTGTAACGCTTGTAGCGGTCTTGATTCCACTGCATTATGAAATCATGAATTTCCATGACGAAATCATGAATCATTGTTACGATTTCATGGGATGGCAAGTTTTTTTATTTCATGATTTTTTATTCATGAAAATGGAATCGGATTTTTTCCCGTGTATCAAATTCACGATCCTTTGCAGATGTGATACCTTCCAAAAGGTACCACCAATCAAAACCAATGGCCAATGTACCACCAGTGAAAACCATCACATGTCCCGCCACTTCATATCTGTCATACCTCGGAAATGGTGCACGATCCAGATAAACTTCGCATCTGCAGTTCAACTCTTCAACTCTGCAGTACCCTGTGGTTGTTGTTGTTCATCTGCACAGCAAGTTACTTTCGTCATGTTACTTTCGAGATTGAGCAAGGCCTTATAATTGATTGATTGGTAGGCCACCCATCGCACAGCAATCGTCCAGACCTGATGGAATATTTGGGGTTAATACGTATTGACATCCCCCAATAAGCACTGGGACTTGTATGGACATCCCTAAGGACATCCTGTGGATTTCCCATCGAAGTCCACCAATTGAAACCAATGACTGGCAACTATACCTAAGGAAAAACGTAGGAGAAAACGATAAAACTTTCATCCCGGAAGACCCTTGGTAAGACCGGGATTCAAACCTGGCTGAAATACAAAACCCATCACCCAAACGCGGCCGAGGGAGGCTCGATGGGTCGGAAAGGTTATGGCGGCGGTTTTCTGGGATTGTCATGGCATACTCTTCGTGGCCTTCCTCGAAAAATGAAAAACCATCAACAGCGAGTATTACTGTGCATTATTTGAGCGATTGAAGGTCGAAATCGCTGCAAAAAGGCTTCGCATGAAGCGAAAAAAAATGTTTTTGCAAGACAATGCGCCGGCTCACAAGAGCATCTCAACCACGGCTAAATTCAATGACTTACGGCTCCAATTGCTTCCGCATCCACTTTATTCGCTCGATTTGGCTCCCTCAGACTATTATCTCTTCTCAAGCCTCAAAAGAAGGCTCATCAATAAAATATTCAGCTCACGTGAGGAAATCATCGACGCCGCGGAGGAGTATTTTGCAGACCTTCCGGAAAATTACTTTTCGGACGGGATCATGAAGTTGGAAAATCGCTGGAATAAGTGTATCATGATTGACATGATTTTTTTGCGTCGACTACATTTTTTTCATGTAATATATTTATGAATAAGTTTCAAGAATAACAAAGCAAAAAAAAGTTGCATGAAAAAATATAGCGATTTTGCGAAAATACAACTCATTGAAGTGGTGGCAGATCAATTGACTCACCCTGTATATAATTTAAAGCAATGGTTTCAAATCCTGATGAGAGCACAATCGAACCATACCTACCAAACTAATTCAAACTTACCAAACTCTCGACGTCATCTCCGCTTTCGTTATAGTCGCTAAACTTCTCGAACGCCTTCTCCACATCCTCGGTGGTAGGACACTTGAAGAACTCCTCCAGCACCTTTCGCGTTTCAGAAAACTCGTACAGATAGTCGAACGTCGACGAGGCAGTGATGGGCGTCGTGAAAGAGCCCGCACCGAACGTTGGATTATCGTCGGCCGTAGTCGAAGTCAGTCCCAGCGATGGTTTAATGTCCGGCGTGGACCGTTTCGTGGGGATCTCCTCCTGATGTCCCGGGTCCTCACTGCGGTAGTCACTGTCCAACCGTATCACGTTGAGCTTGTTCGTCTCCGATGTCGAATCCATCGCCACCGGTGTGCTGTTGATGCTGATCGTACTGGCATTGACGGCAGCCCGTTTGGCATCAAATTCGCTCAGCAAAGCATTGGCATCGAACGTGACCGAACTGTTCAGCCCCGAACTGACCTGCTCCAGTAACGTGGGAGACCGCGTCGGGTGGTACGGATAGTGACTATTGCTATTGCTGGTCGGGGTAGGAGTCGTGGCAGCACTCGTATTACTCGTATTCGCTGGCTGCGGTATCACACGCTGCGGGAAGCCTGGACGTGGCGGTGTCAGTAGCGATGGGGATGTCAGGTTTAGCTTGTAGTTGGACGACATGTAGTAGGACGAGTTGTCCTCATTCAAACTTAGCCCGAACCGCCGAGGGGATCCATCGTACTCTATTTCAAAGAAATGGACGAGAACAGACAAGATTGTAGGTTAGTATATGTGGTAATGGAGATGGAAGGTTCGTGTTTCCTTTGATTTCTTGTAACAAAACTTTCTTTACTATAGATAGTTGTTACAAAGCATATAATCCCTTTGAAATTGCTTCTTCGCTGTCTATGGGATCATTCTCTGTACCTTTTCTTTGATATATTTATTACAAAAGACTGAGCTCACATTACCGACCAATTAGAATGATGCGTTGCCAACATATAACAAAACAAATAAAAGTTGATATTGAGAATAAATCCATCATTATCATAATTGATTATAATTGAATCCATCGAATAAACGTCGCTGTAAATTAATTTACTTATATCCATATCTGTCCACCTAGGGCTTCTATCAAGTATGCACTATTTGATATTTGGGCAAATAGAATCTGGAATGCAACCAAATGAATTTTACAAATCGTTATAATTCCACTTCCACAATGCAGGCATCGAATATACTTGCTGGTTATATTACCGTACGACATCACAGATGACCAATTTCGATGAAAATTGAACCATTCCGGGCGCAACCCTGCCAATCGGGATACGTAGTACCGCCATTCCTATTCACTTCCATTCACCACGCCAACTCATATCTGACACAACAGATGCGGAAATCCTATACTCTGCAGCCGGCACCACGTACCTACATAGAACATACATTCAAGAGTGGTTGCCACTTTTGGTGAGAGCTATCGGATTTCCAAACCCTCGGCATCCCGTTCTTTCGGCACACATGTGTGTCCTTCACTAGAACTGCTTTGGGTTTGAGAAATGATATCAAAATCCAATTTATAAGGCAAGAGCAAACAATGTAACTCAGTCAGCCAGCGGGGAGCCCTTAACACACATTGCCGGGTGAATCTCTACTCTACTCGAGCGGACAGAGAATAGCAAATGTAAAGAATATTCTGCTCCAACCGGAATCGACATTCCTGCATGCCAGGGATTGATTTCTGTCACTGCAGAACTTGGCTTATACGGCTTTGCAACAACGGGAAAACTTTTCCCTCCAACCAACAAGAAAGCATGAATAGGTAAGCGCTTTGACCTGTTTCTCCTATACGGTGTTACATTGAGGCATTGAAATATCATTCAACCGTCGTCGTCGGTCGTCACATTGTAGTTTGTAGTGAGGCCCGACAAAAAAAAAAGCTGAATGCAAATGAGATTTTTCCCGCTGCTAAGGGTTTATTTTCCAACAAAGTCGGCATTTTCCGTGAGACGAACTGCATTTTATGATAATTTCTGCTGAGCTTTCAGAGGATTTGAACTTTGAAAGCAGTCAAGTATGGCTGCCTGCTTTATTGCACGAGTGAAAAAAGAATGCTACATCATTAATGCGACTGAAGCGAATAAACAATATTGAATAGAATTTATTCAAAGGTTAGAGAGACACACATGACTTTTGGTATTTGATCACAAAACAAATTTCATTCATCAAACCCACATTTCATCATCTGTAACAATACGGTATGTAACAAAAGCGAAAATTTCAAGCAGACCGAGTGCGTCCCGCCAGTCAGTCATAACCAGTTGGTAATTGTACACGAGAAGACCTCCTCGAGCTATGTGGTGGGCACACAAGGAACATACAAAAAAAAGGCATAAAATACAGATGAAGGAAAACAGATTGCAGCGCTCGGAAAAGTCGCTGACAAAAACATTGTAGGCAGCGAATGAAAGAAGCAGAGCAAACTCCATCCGCCACCAGCGAAATGAGGTGGCAGACTTGGATACCTACAGTGTACCTCAAAATTGAGCCTACAGTTGTCCTAAGAATTTAGTAAAACGAGCACCATTTTAAGTGATTGATTTCTGATTTTTTGGCTACTGGCTCATCAACCATCTATCAATTTTTCGTATAGTATTGGAAAAAAGAAAACGTCTCGTTATAAAGACCTTTCATAAGCCACAAATTTCACTAAAAAGGTTGAAAATCAAGCTTTTCACAGAAATTACTTAAACTTCACTTCTGCCAATAGATTCCAAAACTATACCGATAAATCAATAAATAGTTGTTCAACCACCAGCCAAGATTTCAAAAATCTATCTATTCACAGTGTTGCAAAAGATTTCCCCCTTCTCGGGCGTACGCTTAAGTTTGAGATACACTGTACGTATCATCGCCATCGCCAAACAGCCAGCTAGCCAGCCATCATCAGCTAACGAACCAGTCGGTCAACTAACTGTGTATAGCAGGAATTGTGTGTAACTGACGGAAAACGGAAAATTATGGAACGAGGGACTTCTCAAGTGATTTATTTATTAAAGCGCGTGTTTTCAATCGAAGAAAAAATAACAGCCTCTATCCAAGACACGACCGTAAATTTGGCGAGGATAACGTGCTCGGTCTCAAAATTTGACGACTGTGTTAGGGAAAAGAGTTTTTCCCATCACGGAAACGCCTCGTGTTCCGATGATAAAATTATTCATTTTCGTGCACAAAACGCACGATATTTTTGGTTTATTCAAAAGACAATAAAAACAAGCGAACATTGGGTGAAATTTCTGGTTAACATTTTCCATTCGCAGGATATTCGCGATCAATCATATAAATTCGAGAAACCTTGCCTTTATTCGAAGTGTTTCTGGTTAATTGACAAGGTATTCGGTCATTGCTAGAATTTGTATGTACCACTTCAATCCTGTTACGCATTTGACCACAAACGTTTGGTTGCTGGGTACATTGTCGAAGAGCTTTGGGGGCTATGTGGGTGGCAGCAAGGCGCGTGAACGTTCAATAAAAATGAACTCTTAAACAACAATAATTTATTGTGGTCCTGAAAAGAACCGTTTTGTCGTGATGGTTGGGTATTGGGGTATTAGATGGTCCACAACAGATCACGACGAGCTACTGATGATCGGTTTAGTGGTGTGGCTTCGTCCTCTTTCTTCGGTGAATCAAGGGCTCTCAAGAGCAGCCTTGATAGCTAGCTGCTTTCGTTGTGTACTGGAGAACAATGTTCCACGCCATGCGCCAAAAGCACCCCCACACACGGTAATTGAATAAGCACTGTTCGGCGAGACCGGATGAAATGCAATTTTTAAAATCTGTGTTAGGGAAAGCGCTTTTTTCAGGCAATCGGTGATAATTTTGATCACCATTGCAATAGTTTTTCATGCAAAGTGTTCATTATAGCAGATTCGTAGAAGAATTTCCATTCGATTGGCTTGTTTATAATTAAAATCCATCCGCTATTGACAGAGTTATAAGTGGTCAAAAGCTGACCACTTTTCGTAACGTTGTCGATTTTGTTTTTTTTTTTTCACCCCCAATATGCTGCTGAAAGACGTAATCCTACGTGAAAAGTTGAATACTCGTAAATTTATTATACTTTTACTTCTAACTGTTGGGGTTTTATTTTAAAATAGGCCAAAAGTTTTCATAATACTGAAAAAATATGAGGTGGCCAGTGTTCCCGGAAAACTGTAGTATAGTTTTCAGAGCTTCTCGGACATCACTTTTAAAAATAATAACTCATGATTTAAGCATCGTAGAACAAATTTTTTCAATGATGAAATGATAAGCAATTTCGATGTATTACCAGAACGCTGGTGGGATGAATTACAACATCGATGATTACCGCTTAGCGGTTTCGGATCGTTGCTTCGACGTCATCGCTCTCACTGAGACTTGGCTCGATACTTGCACATTGTCAAATCAAGTGATTGGTTCCGAATACGAGGTTTTTCGATGCGACCGGAATCCGCACAACAGCCGCAAATCTACTGGTGAAGACGTTCTCATAGCGGTCGGCTCTGGGTTGAAGGCAAAAGTTATCGAAAACGATTCATGGAATTGTGTGGAACAAGTTTGGATTGCCATTAAGCTCGCTGACCGCACTTTGTTTTTGTGTGTAGTTTACTTTCCTTCGGATCGAACTCGCGACTCTACGCTAATTGAATCCCACAGTCAGTCTATTCGAGCTATAATGGAGATCGCCACAGCTGCTAACGAGATGATAATTATTCGCGACTTCAATCTACCGGCAATTTCTTGGCGATCGTTTTACGGTGGATTCCTGTATCCGAACCACGAGCGTTCTACATTTCACTCTGGAGCTGTAAGCCTTTTGGATCATTACAGTATCGCCACTCTGAAGCAAATCAGCACCACGTGAGAACAATCGTAGCTTAGACCTTTGCTTCGTCACCGCCCAGGATACTGCTCCGCATTTGTCTATGGCTGTTTCTCCGTTGATAAAGACTGTTCCACACCATCCTCCTTTAGTTATTGCACTTGAAGGCAACCAAATTCCTGAGGTCATTCCACCCCTCCCTAGAGGTCTCCTACGATTTCCGAAATGCTGACTACGACAGTATCGGGGAACTTCTTTCGAATTTGGTTCCTAAACAAGGTAATCATCATCCTTGGCAAACAAGTGAATTCCGTATGTTAAAGTCTTCCAAAAGAGCCACGCTAAGAAAATACACCAAGTACCACAGCCTACAACTCAAGGACCATCTTGCAAGGATCAATCATGCGTATCAACGAACCAGTCGCCAATGTTATCGGCCTTATCAACGAGATGTTCAACGGAAGCTTCGATCGCACCCGAAAACTTTTTGGAATTATGTGAATGAGCAACGAAAGGAGTCTGGCCTTCCATCGACTATGGTACTGAACGGCGAAGAAGCTTCATCCCCTCAGTACATTTGCCGTCATCGACCTCGCTATGATAACTAGGGTGGCTTCGTAACTGAAGTCTTCATTTAAGCCTGTACCTGACGGAGTTCCTCAAGTAACACATCGATAGCCTGGTGGCTCCGCTCTGCCTTCTATTCGAAATGTCCCTCTCCAGTGGGGTGTTGCCTTCCTGCTGGAAATCAGCTGAGATGTTTCCAGAGCATAAGAAGGGATGCAAAAGAAACATCGAAAACTATCGCGGCATCACATCGTTGTGTACCATATCTAAACTGTTCGAGTTGGTCGTTATGGAACCATTAGTCTCTCACTT